GCAAAAGGACTGCCTTCCTACCAAGTCCTGCCGCATACTATCAGGGTAACCTTGAGAGACTTAATTAACCTCTTTAAGTCTCAACTGTCTTAAGTATAAAATAAAGAAAAATAGCAGCAAACTCCAAGGAGAGAGTGTTTTACCAGGAGAAAACGCTATCACAGAGTGGTGCACAGCAGACACTGATTAAATGTTTATCTACTTCCTCCGAAACTATTTAGGCACAATGAATAAGAACAGAGATGGTTTAGTGGTTAAGATGTTTATTGCTGTTCCAGAGGATCCAAGCTCAGTCCCCAGCACCCAAGCTTGGAGGTTTCTAACTCCAGCTCCAGGGGATCTGACACTCTTCTGACCTCCACACAGTGTGGAAAGTCCTTCTATATATGTATTGCTTATATTGGTTAATGAATAAAGAAGCTGCCTTGGTTGGCATTTAGCATATAAACATGCCTGGCCTTGTGCTAAGTTCTGGAGAAAGAATAGCGTGCAAGACAGATAGGTACTCAAGTTTCCTACCCTCCTATCTGGCCAACAGCAACGATCTGTACCAGGACGGCATGAGAATCAATACCCACATATTATTAGCTATGCAGTAAGAGACAGTAACTTTTTAACAAACAATTACATGAATAACATCTTCCAATTACAATGCCCTGGAAAACATATATTTTAGGTATGTTTAAAATGAATACATAAATAAATATATAAAATAATATAATAAAATGAATACATAAAATGAATATAAATCATTTTGATAGTGTATTAGTTACTTTCTTGTTGCGACGACTGAGCACCGAAGGAAAGCAGCCGAGCACACACAGGATATGGTGGCACACATCTGCCATCCCAGCGCTCTGGATTTGGAGGCCAGAAGTTCAGGAGTTCAAAGTCATCCTCTCCTACCCAGAGAATTCAAGGTAAGCCTGGACTATAGGAGACTTCCCAAAATAATGGAGGAGAGAAGACTGAAGGCGTGGGGCTGATTTCAGAAATAAATTGACTGGAGGAAGGATTCATGGCTCATGGTTTTGGTGTACAGGAGTCTCCAGTCAGGAATCAGAAAGATAAAAGCTGGGGCTCAGAACACTGTCTCCAGCTCCTGGGTTGAAGTTGTCCACATTCAGGGTAAATTCTCCCTCCTCAGCACTCTCTAGAAACAACTTCACAGACACACTCACAGGTGTTTCCTAGGCGATATACATCCAGACGAGCTGACAGTGGGGACCAGTCATCAGAGATGAAATAATAATAAACTACAATAAAAGCTTGGATAACCTTCTAAGCAAATAAATAGTAGACAGTTTTCTCCTCCTGCAGCAGAGGAGTGGAGTCAGGGAAGGTTCTAGCTCCCTTAAGCTGGGTCTTCAAAAAGGAAGGAGGAGTTTATTCAGCAAAGAATGCTAATCAGAAGAGAAAGTTTTAAAAATGCCATAGAAGTGGGAATTTAACTACAGAATGCGGGGAACATGTAGTCCAAAGGAGACACTGCGGCTGGCCAAGCCATCAGGGATTAGTACATGACCAGTCCTGTATTCCACCCTGACAGAGTTAGACCTGGGTAGCTTCGTGGTTTGGGAAGCATGACCTCATCACTGCGCTGTACTAAAAACTGTGGCAGTGTGATTCTTGGAAAGGGGGAGGCGTTGAGGTAGAGAGCAGTGGTTAAAGTGTGTTATGGCAGAGGTAATCCTCGGCTTCAGGGAGGAAAGGACAATGAAGAGTCAGAAACAGATCAGAGGCCAACCTAGGTGACGCAGGGTCAGAAATAAAGGAGAAAGTAGAGTTGATGGCTTTGTGCCAAACTTGGGAAATAACAGGACAACCAGCGTGCTCGGAGACAGATACGTAACAGGAACATTTCAGAGCAGCTAAATTTTTGTGTTTTTGTTTGTAGGACTCATTGATAAGTGGAAATTCTTACTCTGTCTTTTGAGAAAACCATTCTTCTCACTCCTTCCTATTCCAAAGCAACATTTCCGATCCTGATGCGCACTACATGTTAAGTACCAAACTGCAAATACAACTGTATCATGGTAAAGCAAGGATGAATCAGGGTTAAAATATGGGATTAGATGCTGCAGCCATCGCAGCCTGGATAGCCAAGACTGGGGGGGGGGGTGCTGGGATTGAGATACGGAGGCTTCTTTTCAGGTGGAAGAACAGCAACCTTTATTTTGCCCAGCAACCTTTATACCTCTACTCCTTCTGTGGAGACCCACCGGCCAGAAAGAACACAAACATCCTTGTCAATTACAGACCACAAGGAAGTTCTGCTGTCAGGGGGAATGAGGGAAGCTGGATTACTATGTATATATATCCAAGTATGTTAAAATGATTTTAAGAGAGCCGGATGGTGGTGGTGCACGCCTTTAATCCTAGCACTTGGGGTAGAGGCAGGCGGATCTCTGTGAGTTTGAGGCCAGCCTGGTGTACAAGAGCTAGTTCCAGGGCAGGCTCCAAAGCTACAGAAAAACCCTGTCTCGGAAAACCAAAAGATTTTAAGAGCTGTTAATGGATGGATAGGAGTATTCCATTGCCAAGTTCACTGGCAGAAGGGGGGTGGGCACAGCTAACCCGCTGGACTCTCCCTGGGGCTGAGTGGGATAGGAGTGTAGAATGACCCAGCCTACCCCCTCTGGCTAACTGGGAGAAACACAACCATTGAGTCAAAGTCTGTCGAAGTAGGATCTTAGGCAGGAACTTATATAGGCTTAGATAAATTAGGGAAGCCTGGGATGTGCCGAGGCGGAGCAAGAAACGAGGGCCAATAATATTCTATGACGTTAGAGGTGGCTGGGCAGAGGCAAGCCTAGGTCAAGTAGCCAGAGACAGGACTCCAAACTCGAGCTAGGCTCAGGAAATTACACTAGGTCTCATCACCAAAGTCAAGTTAGACTTAGGAGGCTACACTGGGCCTCATGAGGCCCAACATTCCATTACAAAGGAGCAACAAATGCTTACTAATTCTTAATAAGGTTTGAGCTAATACATTGAAAGGTGTTAGCCTTTAAGTGGTGGTTATAATGAAATGTAGGTGGCTAATTGTCTTACGTGTTTTACTATCCTAATAAATTGTGCTTTCTGGAAAAGCAATAGAACTCAAAGGTTTACCACTTAAAATTGAGTTTTATCTAACCTCTTTGAAATATTGGTAATATTCTCTTCCCACCTTAAGTTTCTTTTCTCCTTTTCCGTAAGAAGTAATTTTGTTAGAACCACATCTGATGATAACTTCTATCAAACAATTGTAGAGTATTATTTTATGGAAGGTAATAAGTATCTTGCCTGCTTTATTTAGTGTCACAAACAGGTTACTAAACATTACATATTAGTCCATTAAGATAAACTTTATGAAGAAAAAGAACTATTTGATAAGTACAGACAGAGATATATAGTCTATAAATATAAAAGTTTCAGTAAATGAAAAGATTTTCCTTAACTTCTAAATAATCAACGTCTGATGTTTCCTTTTCTGGTTTTTTGTTTGTTTGTTTGTTTGTTGTTGTTTTTTCAAGCCTCGGCTGTCTGGGAACTCCTGCTGTAGGTTAGGCTGACCTTGAACTCACAAGAGGCCCACCAGCCTCACCTCCCACTCGCAGGGATTAAAGGCGTGTGCCACCACGGCAGGGCTCTACAATTTTCAAGGTCATTTTTTCTTTCTTAACATCCTTTTGACAGCTTCCCATTATATTCAGGTACCTAAAGTTATCAATAATCTTGTCTTCTATCTCATTAGTTTGCTTTGGATCATCACGTACCTTCAACAAAATCAAGAAGGGTCCCTCAGGGACATTCTGAAAGTTTTGTGAGACCCTTTGAGGTTCCACACTAATTTGCATAAGAGGAAGGGTACTTTCTGGACGGTGGACTGTCCTGGGAGACCAGCCAACCCACAATAGTCAGCCTTGGCCCTTGAGGCTTTACAAGACACCATAGCATGAAGTAAGGAAGTGCCAGTCTGTGGTCATCTTAAGAACTCTCACCCATTCATACCACGTTTACTGTTTTAGCACAGACTGGACTTTTTGTAAGTGAAGCTACCCTGTAAACGGAGAAGATACTTTCAACAATTTACCTCAAAACATTCGCCCTTTTCTGGAAAAAGTAAAATAAAAAATAACATTAAGTTAAATTTAAAGAATTACATTAAAATAAAATAAAATAAATAAACCATGCAGTGAGAAGGTTGACGCAGGGGGATTATGAACTCGAGGCCAGCCTAGGAGATCTGTGAGTCCCTATTTAAAAAATAAGATCCCGATGGATCTTGTAGCTGTCAGGCATACTACTGCTTAGGACTGCTGCAATAAGGGAGCAATAGGCTCACTTCATTGCAGCCTCTAACGCAATAATGCGGAAGCATTTACAAATCCAAAAAGCGAATTGTTACTAAGAAAATATTTACTTTACCCTTGTGTTTCAATTAGACTATTACATTGATTTAAAAACATTACTAAATCTCATTTCCGGATATATGACAGGAAACTTTTTTAAAGCTCTTGGTATAAAAAAAAAAAAAAAAAAACAAAAAAAAAAACGGCACTGGCGTGGACTGGTGGAGGCTGGGTACTAAAGAGACCTCCTCACTTCTATACACTACTACAGAAGTAAACCGGCAGGGTGACGCCCTGGGAGAGGTCCTGGCAGTCATGATTTCGACACCAGGGAAGGAAAGAACCTGCTTCTTCCTTTCAGCCTACATAAACCTCGTGCATTTTCTGACTGGACCCAGTTTGGGTGGTCCAGATTTGGGGGGACACGCTAGAGAAGCACCCCTCCCTTCTCCCTTCGCTGCCCTCACGCGTTCTTCACGCCGGGGTTAACCACTTTCCCCAAGGAGCCCCCCACTCTGGCCCCACCAGGTCCCCTCCAGGCTGCCCTGGATCCAGTGGGACTCTGTGGTCCAGTGCCACCCCGAGGAGACGGCAGCCTGTGGGCTGAACAGAGGAACTGGGGAAGCAGGAGAACCTGGGGTCTAGGGGTGCCCGCCGACTCACCGCGTCGTGGTCGATGTCGGCATCCGGCCTTTGGGTGGAGGGGGGCAGGTATTCGGCGTAGCGCAGCGCCTCTTTGGCGGCCGCGCCGCCACCGGTGACCATAGCTGCGCCTGGAGACCCAGAGGACGCGCTGCGTTGCTACCGGTTTACGACGCGACGGCGGGGACAAACTAGCGCGGGTTAATTAACTTCGCGCTCTGAGTAACAACTAGGTCAAATGGGTGTAGACCTGATTGGAGAGAACCCTTTACTCACAGGACACACAGTGTTTACTTTTGTTTGTTTATTTTGAAGGATCTCCTGGGGCTAGATGCGACACCCACCTTCCACCACACCCACCAAACCTGGGGTTAGGGTGGGATGCCTTAGGTCTGGGTTGTTTCTCTAAAGGCGGGCGGGAAGAGATTCTTAGGTCCAACCTGGGAGTAGAGGCTTGCCTTGACCTTCCCAGACAGAAATGAGTATCATTTTACATCTAGGTGAAATTACTGGGAAGAAACTGGTGATCAAGTAGCTTGCTCACTGCAGATGATCTTTGAGTTGAATATATAAAGGCTTACTTTGTTATTAATTTTTAGGTCAAATAACTGAAGCTAATACGTTTTCTAACTCCTGTACCAACTTGGCTGCTTGTACCGACTTGGCCGCTGTTATGCCCTTTATACACTTTGCAAACCAGCTTACAAGAAGTTTTTTGTTTCGTTGTCTATTTTTTTGTGTTTTGTTTTTTGAGACAGGGTTTCTCTGTAAGCTTTGGAGCCTGTCCTGGAGTTAGCTCTGTAGACCGGCTGGCCTTGTATTTACAGAGATATCCGCCCCCCCCCCCCCCCCTTTGCCTCCCGACTGGAATTAAAGGCGTGCGCCACCACCTACCAGCTAGGTTTTCTATTCTTAAAGTAAAAAATTTAAGAACCTGTTAATTTATCCATGTAGGAATTTACAATCCAGAAGGAAAGATGGCACCAACACGGTGCTGGTGATAGATACTGGAGTGTGAGCCTGCCGGACAGGCTGCAAAAGGAAGCAAGAGACAGCATTCGCGTTTACAGAAAGGAACAGCGGCAATCATAAACGTTTTTCTTGGAGGCTCAGCCATTGAGATTGCTTCCGTAAAGAACATGTTTTGTTTTACTTTGAAGAAGGGCCAGAAATTCCACACAGAAATAAATACAAAGACCTTGAAAAGGGTGGTGTGTGCAATACTGGGTTGAAAGTACTTCAAGACTCTTTAGAAACATGATTTTATCTAAATTATTATTTTATTTTATAACAATTTATTTAAATTATCTTTTAAGCCAATCCACAATTATTTATTGTTATGATTTTAGCCATAATATGACTGACTCTTCCTGTTTCCAGGGCCAGGCATGTGCTGACAAGCCCTCAGGCATGACCCAAGGGTGACACAGTTGTATTGTCTACCTCTGAGGCAGTTGCGTGAGCTCTGTCTGCATATGACCCAACCACATCATCCCCCTGTGCGCTAGATAGCCCATAAAAGCTGGAAGTGCCATTTTCTGCGCCTTTCCTCCCTCCCCCTCTCTTTCCCTCCTCTTCCCCCTTCCCTCCTCCCCCTCCACTGACCTCAACAGGCCTGTACGCCCCCCTTAATAAATTCCTAAGTTGTGCATTCTGCGTTTCCTTCTCACTCACACCAGGTAATTTCATTTATGAGCAAAACAAATGAGTTGGATTGGAGCCTACATATCATTCATTCATCATCCATTTGTTCAATTTATTCAATAAATACTTATTGAACAAATGTCACGTTTTAGACACAGTACTGGGGCGTTGTGCCTTTAGCATCAATTAAACAAATAAGGTCTCCAAGTCTTTGGAGTTTGTTGTCTAGGGGAAGCTAATGGTGTATCCTAGCAGCTGGACCGAACTGTCTTAGGCTGCTAGCCTAGAGCAAACAAGCAATTAGAAGGAGACCTGTGTGAGCCAGCTCTTTTTGAGAAGAGCGCACCTGCTCAAGAGCTGGGGCTTCCCAAGCAGAAGCCCTGAGAGAAGGGGGTTGGGTAGAGAGTAAGGCAGAGGGGGGGAGTGCAACGACGGAGGGTGGAAGCAGGTTGTACTTCAGGTCAGACTTCTGAGAACAGATTACTGGCTGCTGCAAGACTTTACTGACTGAACTCCCTGCCACTGCTGCCTTGGTTGTCTGCTTCCACAGAAGCAGCCACTGTTGGAGAGAAATCTCACCCCCAGTGGCTACTCAGCCCTCTGCCTGCGGTTCTTCAGCAGGCTCAACCTTAGCAGCAAATAAAGATAAGAACAAAAGCAGTGAAATCCTTTCCTCTCCCCTCAAGGATCTCTTCTTGGTTTAACCAGACTCACTTTGCTGGCTTCCTTGAGAAGAAAGATAAATGTTGTTTTGTGAAATAAAAAAGAGAGGTGTATTAAATTTCTGTTGGTTTTCTTTCAATTACTTATACCATCTCAAAGACACATATTATGTTCAATGGACCTTGTAAAACAAAGGCAGATATTGGTATATATTTTAGAAACATTTCAGTCAAAGGGGTTTACAATTCGGCTGTGCTGGAACTTGCTCTCTAAACCAGACTGGCCTGTAACTCACAGAGATCTGTTTGTCTCTGCCTCTGGAGTGCTGGGATTAAAGGTGTTTGCTACCATCGCCCGGCTCCCTGTATTTTTTATTATTATTAAATCCCACACACATTGGCGCGTTGACTGGTGAGTCTTGGGGAAGCACCTCTATTTTTGAGATCTCATGGGTGCTGCATCACCATTGTTTCCAGAAGACACTATCTTACATCAATTACCCCAGTCCTCTGGCTCGTACAGTCTTTCTGCCCCACTCTCTGTAATGTTCCTGAGCCTTAGGCATCAGGATGTTTTTGTAGAAGATGTCTTCATTATGGATAGGCACCACAGAGTTGATCATTCTCTGCCTCTTAACCAATTATTGATCTCTAGAGTATCCTCCAATGAAATAAGATGCTTCTTTGACAAGGAGGTGAGAGCTGCACTAATCTATGGTATGAGGATAAGTATTTAGAAGGCAGTTGGATATTTTAACTCTTTAAAGTTGATTCTCATCAGTCATGGGTTCATGGGTATGTTTCCAGCACCAGGCAAGAGTTCCCTCTTATGGAGTGGGCTGTAAGTACAATTAGACATCTGTTCGTTTTCCTGAAGACATAAATGCCACTATTGCACCATTGGATATTGTTATGGGGTAGTCATTGCTGCGGTTCACAGGCTTTAAGCTAGGTAAGATTTGCAAGGGACCTTCCAATAGTATGAAATCTAGGCCTCAGAGAGAAGGCTTCCAGGTCAGTCCCAGCTATATTCCTCCAAGACCTGGGCCAGAGTATGTGTCATCTTCAGCAACAGGGTCTTACCTTCAAATTCTGTCAGGCAACCAAGGGGGGTGGCAGTAGTATGTATTGTTTTGTCCCTTGGGCATCCTAACCAATTATTTTGAGATAAAATGACCCTGCATCCTGTGTGTCTTAGTTTCTCTTCTATTGCTGTGGCAAAATATCTTGATCAGACAATTGTGTTAGTCAGAGTTCTCTAGAGTCACAGAATCTATGGAATGAATCTCTCTCTCTCTCTCTCTCTCTCTCTCTCCATATATATGTGGAATTTATTGTAATGACTTACAGGCTCCAACTAACCCAACAATGGCTAGCTGTGAACAGAAAGTCCAAGAGTCTAGAGTTTCTCAGTCCCACAAGGCTGGGTGTCTGAGCTGGTCTTCAGTGTATGCTGGAATCCTGAAGAAGTAGGCTCTAACACAGTGAAGGTGTGGATGTGCTGGCAAGGTGAAGGGAAGCAGGCAAAGAGCAAAAGCGTCCTCCTTCCAGGTCCTTACATAGGCTTCCAGCAGAAGGTGTGACCCGGATTTAAGGTGTGTCTTCCCACCCCAAGATCTGGATCTAAACCTGTGCCACGCCAAGTTCTGGATGAGAGGTGTGCCTTCCTACCTCAAAAGTCTGGACTAGAAATGGATTCACCCACTTCAAACCAAGCACAATCTCTCTCACAGGTGTGCCCTCCATGTTTCGATTGTGATTCATTCCAGACATAATCAAGTTGGCCACCAAGAATAACCATCACAACAAATTATAGGAAGAAAGTATTTGATTGGTTTGCAGTTTCGAAGTGTTAGCTGCAGCAAAGGGACATCTTGAAATGCAAGTAGGTGGCAGAGAGACATGCTGGGAATGTGAGACTCTTTGGAAACCTCAAAGCCTGCCCCCCAGTGGCACATCTCTTCAAAACAAGGCCACACCTCTTAATCCTTCCCAAGCAGTTCCACCAACTGAGGACAAGTAGTGAAACATTTGGGTCCGTGGGAGCCATTCTCATTCAGGCTACCACACTATCTTTTTTAAAAAGAAGACAGACAACATTGAAAACAATAGTGAAAAACACTCCACATGCAGCATTAACCTCTGGCCTCCCGATGTGAATGACAAGGTGCACAAATACCGCCCCCTCCACATGCACACATGGACACAATCCTCCAAAGCTACTGAGCAGTGTGTGTGCAATGGAAATAAATGAAAACAATTTCAATTTGAAGATTAGATGTGATTCCGTACTCGGTTTTGCCTGAAGATATTGCTTCCTCTTCTTTTTAAAGAAAACCAAATTATAAGCCTCAAAGGAAACATTATTATTGTGAGTGACCCTGAGGCAGAACTGGGACCCACATCTGTGTAAAAGGCTTCCCCTCTACAGACAGAGTGCACAGGAGCTTCTGTCTTGGTGTTATACTTCTGCAATATTGCTGAGATTTTCAGTAAAAAGAAAAATGTCTTGGAGCTAGGGTTGCAGCTCAGTTGGTAGAATGCTTGTCCAGCATGCACGGAGCCCTGGGTTTGATCCTCAACACTCCATAAACTGGTGCTGTGGTGCATACCTATGCTTCCAGCACTAACGAGGCACAGACAGGAGGATCAAAGGTTCGAGGTCGTCTTCAGCTATATAGCCAGTTTGAGGCCACTCCTGGGTTACAGGAGACTCTGTGTCAAAAGGAAAAGAAATGCCTAAAAGCATTCCCAGATGGTGACATAGGAAAGAAAAATTGGAGAAGGGGTTTACATAGATATTTAAAAATAATGTTTAAAGTGTGTATCTTTAATACTGTGATCCCAGATGTAATCTATTTCCTG